CGGCGGCGCGCGGCGAAGTTTTATTTCTTAAACTTCGCCCTGCGCCCGCGCTTATTAGTGTGTTCTCGTCACGCGACCCCGCCGTTTTATTTCTTTAATCTCGCTTTGCGCCCCCCGCGGGACGAAGTTTTATTTATTAAACTTCGCCCAGCGCCCTCGATAATTAGCGTGTTATCGTGTTTTCGCGCGCGCCCCCGCCATTTTAACTTGTTAATTTTCGACTTTTCGCTTGACGGGGTCGAGAGGCGAAAACACGAATGGCACAAATCAGCCACCATAGATTCTGGTCTTCCTATTTGATAACAACTGATATCACTTGTAGCAAAATGTGTGCTAACAAAATTCATTCCAATGAAATGTGTTTTATTTGTCTTAATATCATAAATCAATCTAGTTTTGTATCTTTTATAATAACTTTTGGTTTATTTTTTTTTAATATTCGAATATAATTGGTCGCAAACCAGTATTCGAGCAAAGTCTTTCAATTAACAAATTTATGCAAACAATTATGTGTGTTTTAAAGATTTGAAGAGACTCCTATAGATGTGAAATTTATACGTATAATTTTAATTTTATCAATAATGAAATACGGTGAACGATTTTGAACACATTATATATCTGTTTCATATAATTACTTTCGTTAATGTATCATGAATGGTTTTTAAATAAGTTTAAAATAAAATAAAGAAATGTATATTCAAAAGTGTCAAATGAATTGACAAGAAGAGTTTAGCTAACTGCAACCATTTTGAAAATGAGTTTTAGATTAGATTTTTCCGGAGGGCGTTTCGCAATCATCTGTTTATTTCATCCAATAAAAATGTGAGAGGATAAAATCAAAATTAGATTTTGTTTATTTCTAATCGAAGGCATTATTACATCTAACTGTTAACGTACAAATGAATATAGAACTCATTATGCTGTGCAGATGTGCAGCTGTTTACTCAGCAGTTACAGGAGAAGTCAATTTATTACATGCTGTGGCGGTGATATTTCTTTCAAACATTTCGGTGCAAATAGTTACACATTTTTTTGTTAAGCACTATCTGAGTCATGAGTTATTCATTATTCAGACGCACAATTTTAATCAAGACATGCACAAGTCGATTATGATCGGCTTAAGACCCTGGTCAGGTTATGGACAGCGGGGAAAACATTTTTTTTTAAATTTTAACTTACGTTGTGCCCGCACTGCCAGTTACAGAATAATACATACTAGCGTTCCTTCTGATTTATCTATTGTTAATATAAAAAGGCACATTATGCCTCGGAAACGAAAACTAGAAAGGGAAAATATGAAATTTAAAAGCATATTATAGATGCTTTTCACAAAAAGATAGTAGCGATGATTGTGAAATTATTTGTCATAAATGAAGCAAAATGTAAACAAAGTAATATCTTAGAAAATAGATCTACTAAAAAATATAAGTATGGCAACAGAAGCAAAAGATGGTTCAAATAAAAGGCCAATTACTGATTTTTTTTAAAACTATAACATAAGACCAATTGTTGGGGGAATTATGTGCCTTTAACTAAATATATTTTTATGTTGCTAAGCACTTGTATGGAAGTGTAATATTTTTGTTATTTGACATCGGATAACTTGAGATATGTAATACAAATTCATATTGTAGCATCACTCCTTTAAAGTTTTGTATGCTTAATTGTAATCAGAATGTACTTGCAAGTAGATACACTCTTATCAATATACAAGTGGCTGCACTGCCACTTTCTTTTGATCACGTGCAACACGTGTTTCATATCATCTTAATTGATAACATATGTGTCAATATGTTTCCTATACATAATTGTAAATTGGGAGCAAAATGTACTTCTCTCAGTCATCACACAGAAATAAAAAACAGTTTGTGCGGTAATATTGTATTCAATTATGTTTTTGATTATAACTATGCCGTATTAAAGATGTCATTTACATAAATAAATATAACCTATAAATTTCCTCTTTAATGTTTCATTAAACGTCACCTTTTGAAGTTCTGTTATTTGTCTTGATTTTTTAAAACACCAAAGTTGGAACATTAAATAAGCGCCTGATATAGATGATACAAGATTTGAATGCTCAATATGTTAAAAAAACAACAATATAAGAAATACGACTAAGGGAAGGGAGAGCAATTTTCACGAAATACAGTTTCCGACAAAATATCTAAACGCAAGGCATGGATTGAAGTGATGATTTAATAGATTAAAGGCGGGCAAGAAAATATGTATCGTAAGCGAAAAATTCAAGTAAAAAAGAGAAAGGGTGGGTCAAGAATGCAATTGGGTGAAGGTAAACAATGACCGAAGAACGTTTAAAATTGAACCAGACTTACAAAGATTTACTTTGTACCAGACTTACTCACTAAGGAATATCTAAATACGTTGACACGCCATACATTACACTCTTTGGAGTGCAGGAATAAACAATTGAGTGAGGTTCATTGATTTATTATTATTATTCTTATTACAAAATCTTGCACATATATTTCTTCACAGTCTTCTCGGAATAGTTCTTTATAAACGTTTACCTTGTATAAGAAATGAAGAAGGTTTTATTATCTCCTGTTCATTACCCAGTCTACCTATAACTGATTATCTCTGGCATTCAAGTGGTATGTTAATCACTTCTCCATCTCTTTGTAAGCTTTATTTATTGTCCAAATTACATGTAATAAGACTCGTTATATAATTAAAGCCTTCTTTTAATTGGACCATTTACGTTTACTTTTATAATTACCCCTATAAACATTGGGCTTTTATTGCGTTCTGAATCGGAACAGAATTGCATAATTAAAGTTTCATTTAATCTAACTTATATACCCGGTAACATTTTTTCTTCAGCAATTGCTGCAAATAAACTGCACTTCAAACAAATAAAATAGTTTAACTGATCCAGTGAGATGCAATTAGTTTTATAGTTCTCGTGTCTGTTGCCTTATATCTCATCCACTAATGTTGCTTCTACGTCATTATCTGGACGTATAGATAAAATATTCACTTATGTTTTGATAATATGATTGCTATTTGTTTGTTTTTTTATAATTATTTTCCGATAAATGTTATTCAGCTTATATGGCCCAGTACAAAACAACGGTTATAAGCCCTTATAACCCAAACTGCTAAACTGAAGGTAATTCGGATAGTAAGCTACAGTTTTAAAACAAGGTAAAATTGCCTTTTCACAGCCTTTGGAATGTATATACGTACTGCTTTGTTTATAAAAAACAGAATAAAAGTAATAAGTTTGCAGTAGCTATATATTAAAATAACTATTATGAAATAAACAATGTCAATGCAGTTACAGAGGGTGCATTATTGTTAAATCAAAGGTCAATGCATTTGTTCAAAATAGTCTACATTAATGCATGAAAATGAAGACAAAAAAAAAATATGTCGAAAAGAAAAATACATAATGAAGATGAAATTAAAATATGACTGAGATAAAACATTTATTTTCTTAAATCTGGAATATTCTGATCTTGTCCATCATAAAGATTATTTGTCAGGTTAAAGACCCACCATAAAAGAGTTTAAGCTAAGTAAGTGTAATATTTCCGAACAATCGTTTTTCATTGACTTAAACTCAATATGATTAATTTATTTACAACAGTTGCTAATATGAATGATATAATCGTCACGGCCATCCAATAAAACAAAATCGACAGTAAAAACGAACAATATTATACGCAAGGAATATTCTAATTGTATGTAGTTACAATTCATTATCTCATTTATTATTTGAAGTCACTTTGTTTGCGACTAATTCACATACATGTTTCAATTTCGACATTTCCTTGTCTCAACCATGGCGGTTTGAATAGATAACAAATTTTTCATCTTTCAAGCAGAGCAGGCTAAAATATAATCATTTTAATTACATATATGAGTATATTACTTGAACTTAATGAAGAATGTATTAATAAACTGATACAAAACATAATTCAATTTTGTACTTGTGGAGAAAAGTGATTGTTGTTTCCTTAATAGTATATTTTCTATTAATTTCATTTCTCGAAAAGACTTTATCTAATGTTGGAAGAAGTTGTTGTACAAATAATTTGTCTTTGCTACATACTTATTATTTATATTTTGGCTTTTACGTGTATTTAAAAGAGTTTAAAAAGTTATTACTAAGAAAATATCGTCATTATAACAAACGCACCTTGCATATATTGTGCAAGCGCTACACAATAAGCCCCAAAGGCTGGTACATAATACATACTAAATGAATGACATATTTATGGTGATGATCCAAACTTACATAATGAACTTTCTACTATTTCATGATCCTTTTTGCATGTGTTTGGTACTTATTTTTTACACCAGCTTCAGAGTTTAATTTTTTGCAGCCGCCAAGCAGCTATAAACGCCGATTTTATATGTCTGAACAAATGCTGCAGTCATTTGTGACTGAAATCATTCGATGATTTAAGCATGTTTATGCCAGGTGTGTTGCGGGAATTGTCTACGTTTTATTTCTTTCACAGCCCTACTCACGCTTCATTTGCCCCTGCAATGTTATGCATATAATGTATAAAGTAAATATCAGGAAAGATAAATGTGTATAAAGTCTGTGGATTTTTGAAGGAACTAGAGCCTGTTCTAGTTAATATGAGTTTTATGTTACAAGGTTATAAGAAGGTAATAAGAGTACCTTATATAATATGGCAATTTCTTCTAAAACTAATAATGTTTGTCCTGCAGAAAGTTGTGAGATTGATATTTTTTTTTAATTTGGTAATTAGATTGTTATATTATAAATGTATTATACGGCAAAGCAAAGAAGTTGTATTTCGCTGATGAACTCTACATGCATGTGTGGGACATACTGTTTTGAGAATAAACAATTCATTATTGCAAACTGCAACATTATACATGTTGTTGTAAGCTGTTGAATACGAAACTTTTAGAAAAGTTATTTATCTAATGTTTATATAAATTTGATATTTTTTATCATGATACTATCATTAATAATGTTATTATTACTATCATTTCAGACTACACATTATGGCCGTTCTGGGTTGATAGAGGTATGAATATAGAACTTCCATTCAAACATGTGTAAGTTAAAACAAATGAAGTTTATTGCTTTTATGTCAACATTCTTAAAACAAGTAGCTATCTCTCCCTCTGTTGTAGAAAAATTAAATGTGTCAAAGTTTAATTAACCTTACAAGTCAGTGACCAGGGACACGTCTTATCAACGATCGTTTGATTTTGGAGAAAGAAGTTCAAATTTCATTTTAAAAATATCAACAAACGAAATAGAAATTATATGGTCTGTTGCAGATATTGTTTCTAAAAAAGCCCAATTTCATCTGTTTTACTGAGTGAGTGAGTGAATGTATGATTATTTCAAAATATTATAATGATCTGCATTCCTTTCCTAAACGTGTTGCGAGAGCCTTTACTTGTTTTAAGAACATGTTGACAAGAGTTCGTTTGAAATTGTTCAAGTTGATTTTTCAACCCTAAATCCAATTAACTACAACTTACTGTGACGAGTGAAGAAAAGTTAATTTGTTTTACTGATAATTTACATCTCACTACTTAAAATATCATTCAATTAACAAAACTATTTCAAATGTTAAAACAATTAAGTGTATGGTAAATAGAAAGAAAAGAAAATAATAGTACAATAAATCTTGTTAAATTAAATTAGTTATCAAACTTGTTCTATGTTTCATATAAAATAGTTTTCTTCTTTACAATTTTGATAATCTTCAAAAACCCTTTCATGTTTCCCTATAGTGGCAAGACATGCAGGTATGTATGACATAATCATGTAAACACGCACTACATGTACTGGGTAGCAAACAGCGCCATTCTTTTATAATGCATGCACGGCCTGTCTTCCTTTTTTAAATGTGCATTTCAAGTATAGTATACCAGAGCTTAAAACGTACAAGGTACATGTATTTATATTTCAATATAATAATAGAAGTATGCATCAATAAGTCAATAGTTGATAGCGCAGTCATTTTATATCTAATAAATTCTTGCTTAACAGAAACAGCAAAGCATGCCTCCCATTTAAAGCGCTTGCAAACGTAGTATATAGGACGACGAAAACGGTAAGTTATTTTTAGACAAAGCATGCGCACGCACACACGCAAGCACGCAACCTTAACAGCAGTAACATATTTGTTTCTTCCCCCTTAATGCTTCATCTTTATGTAAACAAATGGTCTGAAATTGTTAACAAAAGACCAAATTTAAGTGCATGATAAATAAATTGTTTGATCCAACCCCTTTGCAAAAACAGTACATGTTTATCGTTTAATCCATATAGTTATTAGACAAATGTTCTTACTTTGCCAAAGAATATTTACTTGTGTATTGAATGTTACATCACACTCTATTCGTTAATTTTAGGATTTATTATCATAACTATTTTTTAATGTGAGTATGTTTTTTAAAGCAATTAAAATATATTACGACGATTTGGTTTCATTAGTTTAAACATATTTTATTGCATTAAATACATGTTTATGAACCTATTATACAAATTGTGAGTATATATCAAAATGCAAATGGGTTGGGCAACACAAGTTCTTACAACATTAGATTAAGCCCTTCCCAGACTTGGTTTTTTCAATATGTGAATGGTACTTTTGATGTGTGGGACTATACGGGATATAATGCTTAACTCTGATAATATATAGTTCTGATATTAAACACGTTTATCTGTAATAATATTTTCTTGCATATTAGACAGGATTATCAACCAATTACACCGGCGCTATAAAACATGTCTTAAACCCCTCGTGTAAGACAAGTTGCGTGCTTTAAAGACGTCATTCCTGCGCGCCTTTTATTAATATTTTTAGGGGCTTTTTACGTTTTAAAGATGGCTTCCTTTTGCTTGTATGAATGCTTGTGCTAAATTCATACGTTACCATAACATTAAACGTGCTCAAAATTGCAAAATGAAAACATCAGTTTTATTAATTTGTTATATGAAAAAAAGACCAAAAAAAAATTAACTAATAAGATCCATATGATATTTACTGTATCGGTTTTATACTTTGAGGATAAAACATTGCTGAAGCGAAATGATAAATTTCAATGTGTTTTTGTTATGTATATCTATTTTATTGTAAGAGGGAAAACCTTTCTGTAGTGAATTGACACTTTGTTCAAATGATGTAACATTGTCAAAGCGTTTTGATATATATTTTAGGAGAAAACTTTTTATATTTTCAGGGGAGAGAACAAAGTTTGTGACGCATCAGGAAGGGAAGTTAAAAGTTTTCCAGATATAACTCCATTATTGCAAAGACTGCACAACGAGGGTTATAAACTGGGAATCGCCTCAGAGTAAGTATAGTTTATCATGATATTAACAATTTTGAGACAACTTATTTATTGACAAAAACTGCAATGATAATTTAATATTCCTTTGCTCCAAAAAGTCTTTGCTACAAATCTATTGTTTCAGTTTCTGTAAGGTACATAATGCGCTTTGACCAATTATGTTTAAATTGTCGGCTACCAAATGGTTTTCACGACAGAAATGATACCACCTTCATACACTGTAGAACCAGTTATATTCCCGTTAGATCAATTTGCAAATATATATTGAATTTTTGATGCCGAACATTCAAGAATGAGCAAAAGCACGATTGAAAAAATGTTCGGAAGCAAATTAAAAACGTTCTACAGTATTTTTAATAAAGAATGGTTTTCAAAAAAATCAGAACAGGTAGAGATATAATTATATTTTTGTTAATGTCAATTGCGCATTGTTTACCATTAAGAATAATCTTCTTTTTCTTATAACTTTATATATTAGCAATGTTAACAAAATACTTTAAGTTCATTTCTTAAAACTCTAAAATTTGACTAATGTAATTAACCATGTTAACAGTATATATAAATTAATACTAGCATATTGTAGTTTATTGTTGTAATATATGTATATGTATTTTAATGATTAGCTAGGTTGTAGTTGTGTTTGAAAGATATAGATAAAAACTCTAACATGTGAAGGTATTATTTCAATTTTTTGTCTAATAGCGCAGGGTAAGTGAACCCATTTGCTGTACGACCCTCGTGTAAATCAATAAAATATGGAAAGATGTATTAATTGCTTGATTGATCAATTTATTATTGATTGATTGATTTGGCGCTATGAAAAAAATGTTATTTTTATTTTTATTCTGTTAATGTTCATATTTCGTCCATATTATAAAATCATTGTTGAAACTCATAACTAAATATCTTCAAAGCCATTATTATCAGTCATCCATGCAACAGAATACATTGGAAAAAGAAATCAAGCACTTGTAAATTCAGTCAGAAATATATGTGAGTGTATTACTTAACTTGGAGAAGCATTGTTAAAAGATTGCTATTCATTAGTAATCTAGTGTACTACAAGGTGCTCTCAAAACTACTATAGGTTTTAGAAATTAATCTACATATAATAGGGAATTCGATATTCACAATTTAAACAAAGTAACTAGTGATTTTATGGTCACGATACTGTTTTCATTGCAATTTTTTCTCTTGATATATAAAGTATACTTATTTTATCAGTATCCCTTCATTTCAACCAGTCTTGAATATTGATACAAGAGTACAAATAACCATACACTGCTTGAATTTAATGAGGATGGTAATCGAACATATAATCGACTTATGTCGGAATCAGTTCTATATATACTTGTTTTCCAATGCTCTTACATGAACGGCCAACGTATATCGTAAACAGTTTTAAGAATATTTGTTGTCCGAATACTCTTGCATGAACGATTTACTTACGTGATAGGATGTGATAGTATGTATTTTCCAATGCTCGAACACGTACACACATGTTGTAAACAATTGTAAGAATATTTGTATTCCAATGCTTTTACTTGAACGACCAATTTATGTCGTGAACATGTGTGAGAACTAGTTCATCTATAGACATCCATTATAATCTGCATTTTTACCATATCTAATGAATGGAATTTTTCATATTTATGTTTTCAGTACATTTTAGTTCATTTATTTATGTTTATTTTATTTATTTATTTATTTCTTTTTTGCCTCTTCTTAAACTTAAGTTTGCAATATATATGCTTTTTGGCGTGCGTGCTATATTTATTTTATGTATTTCATTTAAAATGTTTTGGTGATATTATAAGTGATACGATTTATGTCAATGTATTTACAGCCGCCTGCTAGAGGTGGCAAAAAGTCTTATTTGTCACAAAAATGCTATTGTTGGTTTAGATATCAGATTAATAATATAATAGTAATACCCTATTCTGAAAGAGGTATACTGTTGAACACACAACCGTTTGCGTCTGGTTGTAATGGCAATGTTTACAAATGCTGATTCAATGGCATATAATAGTAAATTTTGAATTACAGTATGTATTCAGTTTTGTTTTCATAAGGTTAATATCAAATTTGCAACAATTACAAATGAAAAGCGTTGCTGTATTATCCTCAAAGGCATCAATGGACACAATAGTCTCGCTTATATGAATGTTGGTGTTACCTGAAAAGTAAATTCACTTTCTGAAGTTTACAAATGTACATGATCAAATGCAAGATGCCACTCATTTTATTTTGCTCAATGTGGTTTAACTTAAACTTTGTAAATACTAAAACAATATTAGTGTAAATTGTAAAGAGTCAAATTAAACACATTTTCGACCATTGAGTTAAATGTTTTCTAAAACCAAGTGGATTGTAGTACTTTCAATTTCAACATTGAAATATGAAAGTTTCGACTATTTTTAACGATCTTTTCACGCAAAGGTTGTAGTTTAACACATGCCAAATCTATAATTATGTTTCATATTTCCTTAAAATTGGAATACAATTTTTTACAGTTCTATTTGTCAAATTTGAAGTTTCACTATTTTCTGCCAAATAAAGCGTAAAAATGAAACACGTTATCGTTGTGTAATTCGAAACTCGAAACATGAAAAATCATAATTCAGATTCGTACTGTTTTATTAAAAAGTCATTATGATTCAGACGTACTGTGTTATTTTCGTGTCATGGTGATGATTTTGATTGGTACTGTTTTATTACAGAGCTTTCTACAAAGAAGAATGTGCAAAGTTGGTAAAGCTGTTCGGATGGGACGATTTAATTGATTACAAAGAAATATACCCGGGATCGAAAATATTTCATTTTGTAAAGTAAGTGTATCTATATCAATTATGTCCTTATCAGTTTCAATTACTGTATTTCTCAAACAATTGTTTTAATATTTGTCTTTAACATATCAATATCTTACCCTTTTCTGCAAATCGTATTTGATAAACAATTATCATACACGCGAAAGAAAAAATAATTTGATGTTGTTACATGACCACTGGTAAGAAAAACATTGAAGCCTATTTCGTAACAACTTTTTAATGAAGATGGGGGTTTTGAATGTTCGTTACTTTTTATGCTCTGTTTCTTTGGGGTTTTGCAATTAAAAGCTCCTTTCCTGTGGTTCTTTGTGGCTGCTTTAAATATTTGTATTCTCAGTTGATTGAGCTTGACCACAGTTCACAACAGTGCTCGATTATTGAAATATATTCCAAAGAAATGGCTTTGACTGTATTTCAATTTTGAATTTTGTAGGATTAAGAAGCAGAGTGGAGTAGAGTTTTGTGACATGCTGTATTTTGATGACGAGAAAGAACACTTAGCAGAAGTTGCTGGCACTTGCACAGGTATGTTATAAAACGTTTTTTCTTTTTGTTATAAATGTAAACAACCGATTACATTAAAGATATACTATAGTCAAATTTAATATTTGAAAATAGTGATAATTGCTACATAGTTTTTTGTGAATAAACATGTTTTGACTTCACACACAAAAGAGATATGTTATGTTTTAAACCCTGCACATTATAGATGATCACATTATAAATATAAAGTGTCATTATTAAAAAAAAAAAAAAAAAAAAATTGACCGGCCCCGTAGTCGAGGGGTTAGAGTCGATGAATTCGTATCCAGTTACCTCTCTGGCGTGGGTTCGATCCCATGGATATGCTTTGGTAGTTTAGCAGAGTGGAGTGTAGTCTGTACTGTGTAATCTCTTCCGATGGGAAAATACCGACTGAGAATACGTTGTTGGTGAATAGGTATAAACTGAAAAGAAACAAACCGATACATTATAAAGCATTTTAAGAAATGACCATCATTATCAATTGCCTTGTAATAGGTGTTAACTAGATAACGTGAGGGTTTGAAGAGAATGTGGCTGCAGTTAAATATCGACATGAGCTTTGATTTAGTTTTATACACAGTCACTAGTAGGTTAATTCTACAAAAAAGTTAAATTTGCGCCACCTGTAAAATAATTGTCTTTTTTTGAAAAACAAAGTTATGTTCAATTTATATATATATATAAATAAAATGAAACCGTTTTCCCATTTCATATTTACAAATGATTATAATTATATTTGTAATCTATGCAATTATTTTATGTGATGATCGAAAAGTATTGTTATTGAATGATACAGGCATAACAACATACTGGGCGGACAGAGGGGTATCTGAGGAAATAATGGAGGAAGCGTTTCTCACATTTGCTAAAAATAGAGAAAGCAGTACATACTTCAGATCGAAACCAGTTTCAATATCCCGACGAAATTCAACGGAACCCTTCGTCAGTCTCCGCCCACTGATAAATCTTCGTCGACGTAATTCTGTTGAAACTGACATTTCTGTTCCTCCTCCGCATACACTTCTAGGTGGTGCTTCCCTCGCTGCGTTGGCTAATGGAATTACAGGATTATCAATGAAAGACAATGCACATAAGCCAACCGTTCACCAGTTTAATCCGAATTTACCGGGACTTAATGGACCTATTGGTGGGGGTGCACCTAGATCAAAGACTAGGCGACGATACAGTATTATGTGAAAAGTGCATATTGAAATGACAATAAACAACAGTGTGTATAAACCTTAAATTAGGTTTATGCTAATGACAATAATAAAAAAACATAGAAATGCGAGATAAACACAGTGATTATTATATTGTGGTGATCACGTGTCATGGCATTTACCTGTAGTGACCTTATGCAGATACATGCATGACTGTGCGGTTATGACGATCGGCACAACACAATTACAACATCCTTACTTAGAATAACCTTATAAACTATAAGAGTGAGCATTACTTTTGCCATGATTTGTAAGTTTGAAAAAGATCTAGAACATTGTTCCACTCAACTGTTTGACCTTATTTCATAACCTGACATGCACAGAGTGTAAATCAATTACAACTTATTAACTGTTCCCTTCACGTGTGTATATATTTGTTATGTAAATCAAAATGTAATATTTATATATATACAAACACTGATTCATTTCCGTTAAATGCACAAGTACACCCTTTAATATGGTAGTATTATCTTGATAAGTATACTTATTGTATATTCCAATTCATTATATAACAATACGTTATTGCTAAACCTTTTTGAAATAAGAAAATATGGCAGGAATGAGATAAAACAAACATATGATTATTTGCAAAAAATGTGAGACGTCCGTTCTTGTGAACAGAAAGTAAAAGCAATAATTGGTACATGAACAGTTACTTCTCTAAGCTTACGTTGTTCAAGGCAGAATGTACGGAAATATCTTTATATATATATATTTGTGCCGAATATTTATACATAATATTTATATATGACTCATTAATGAAAGAAAAAAACAAGTTGATAAGTTAAGTCACTTCATAAACAGAATCTATATAAAATTATGTCTTACATTGAAATATAACATAATCAGTCATATAAAGCGTTAACGACCACTAGGTGTTTGTCATATTTCGTCATTATTGCTTTTAGGAGCGAGCCCCTGTCAGTAATGGGCTCTTGTAAATAAATTACTGTATCAAACAATTAGAGAAGCAATCGTGTGACATTTCTTCAGCAATAGAGAAATGTTAACACATTTGTAGATCTTTTTTTTGCATTGCCTACATTTATCGTTTATACACGTGCTACCTTCATATGGTGTTGATAATTTGATCTATTATTTTACTTTCTTAAGTGTTGTTCTTTGTCATTTATTAGGTATTTTCGTTTTGTTAACGTTTCTTGTAGAGGCATGCTACATTCCTAGCAAAATGACAAAAAAAATATTGTGTTATGTAAAAATATTTAATGCCAAAACTAATTGACGAGGCACGTATAACCACATGTAATGATACCTGTAAATAATACTTGTATAATAATAATAATAATACTTTTTATCAAATTATATAAATCAGTATGTTCATGACTATTAGATGAATCACAGAACGTCTGGTAAATAATGCAATAAGTTATTCTTCTAATGTTCTGTTACAGATCCACTGTCATAAAAGGTTTTTAATGTTCACAATTGTTAAAATAATTTAAAAGTCCAATACCTTTCCAATAACTCATAATTGTACCGTGTCTCTATACTCAATGGGAAAACTGATTATAAAAGTTTATACAATATATAATTGATTGATATTATATTAAGTATTGCAATGATATTTTGAAATATCACCTAGGGTTTCTTATGTGCTGAATTTGTTACCCTTTGTTTATAACAAAACAACAGAGGTCTTCATTGAATTGTTACAAATAAAAAAATGACGCAACTTTGAATATCGTTTCTTCTTTATTTTGTGTGTACAATACTGTCAATGTATTTATAATTTTACATTTGTCTAACATTGTAGCACGCTATCGTTACTTAACCACAAACCTGCTAGATTTAAGTGTCCATCTTTCAATGTTGACAAAACGAGTCATCATTATAATGATTAATTTTGAAATATACTTACTGAATAACGAACAATTAAAAATATGATAAAAAAGATCAACAAGGAAAGGCGGCGTTCAATGAACGCAACCTCCACAAGACCCAGTAACAAGAACAAGTGGCAAGGAGCCCAGGCGAACCCTAAAGAAAAACAGGACCCGGCACAAGGCAGAGCAAAGAGAATGACTAGAGGGCATTGTAGAGTTTTTTTGGTTGATTTTCTTTTTCATTTTAGTTTATCTTTAAATTTTGCAACTACCTTCAATCTTGTTTTCCAACAAATTTGGATAATTGAGTATCCTATGCAGACTTGGTGTAACCTATGCGTCAACCAGGATAACTTTGTTATTGCAGGCTATGTTGTGACAAAAATTATGGGTAGAAATGCAATACAAAGATTGTTCAAGACACCTAACTGATATATGGTAATTGAAAACAAGGAAATGCACATAAGGTTGACTATTAATATGTAAAGAACAAGAAAACTCGCTTGTGTTTATAAGCAATCAATGTTTATTGTTATTTCTGTTTAAGTAAATGTGGATGATATATCTACACCACACTATACTTAAAAACAAGTCAAATTCTGGAAAGAGTGATCTCTCGGAAGCATTAAAAAACAGCAAAATTACACCGCCTGAGAAGTACTCAATTCTCAACACTTAAAAGTGCTGGACTCAATGATCCTTAAGGACAAGAAAATTATGAAAACACTGAAGTGAAGTACGGTACACAATTCTCAACACTTAAAAGTGCTGGAAAAACCGCCATGTTCCTGTATCACAATAAAGATTGTTCATGAAATATAGAAAATAAGGAAAGGTAGAAACAAAGTAAAAATATACAGGCAAACACCAATATACATGTAATCTGAATATTTTCTCTTATTCACTGCATACTAGAAAGTATGTAATGACGATGTGTTTTTTTATAGTATGTAACAAATTGTGTTAATTTAAAACATATGTATTGCTACAAGTGTTATGGATATATAGAACGCGTTATGTTGGGAATATTTTGCTTTTTTGCTTATTTGCACCGAAATGCTTTGTACACATTGACTAATTATTATATAATTATCAAGGGAGTGGCAGAACAAATTATTGACATTTCATACGAACATTTAAACATGTGACCCCCGTAAAAACAAATTAGGTTGGTGCTCGCTAACACGTAACATATATTTGCGTTATCAAATAGGGCAAAAGAGACTGAAGAAAGTCCAATACGGCAAAAATGAAAATGTTGCAGGTTCGTTTTGATTGAGTCTGTTCATGGTCGGTACTGTCAAGTGAAAACCACGGTCCGCGCCCTAGCTTAAACATTTTGAATTTAGAAACGGTTCATATCAACTGGGAAGCGCCGCCACAGCTACGATTCAAACACATATGATTCCTGGAAATATTTATCAAATCTACATGGCATAGCATTCTTTGAATATCGATGTTTGGTGTAGAGTTTTATAAAAAATGAAAACATTTGACACCTGAATTTAGCGACATGCACTAGCTCGGAAGAAGCGATAGAGCGATTTGCCTTATAACTTCGAAAGAGGTAGCCTAATCGTTAACCAGGCGTGTATCATGGAATTAGTATTATTTAAGCGTTTAAAGGACTCCAGTAAGAAATTTTGAGATTATGTTTTTAGGCTTTATGATCTCAGTGGATTACCATTAAAACAACAATACAAATGTTACTTGGCATTATAACAGTAGTAAAGTGTTGCCAGCGTGTCAGTTTTTACCGTTTGCATTTATAATTTTAAAATTTTAACATCTCGTTAAATTAAATATGATTATTAAAATACGAAATATATTTGACCAAATGTCGTTGTATAAAGAAACATCAGATTTAAAATATTTTCTAAAGTCGCTACATATGAGAGAAACTGTACTTGTACAAGTTCCCAAATTCTTTCATCATATGTGTTCGATTACGAGATATTATACTCAAAAGGAGACTTGATAAGTAAATGATAAAGTGTTCATATTGAATCCTTACCACATGAGAGGTAATTAATTTAAGAGCAGGAAATTTGCATTTCATATAATTAAACGTGCTTTCCGTTAAGTATTATCTTATTTTCTTGGGAATGATTATTTCGTTTCATATTTCTAAGGAGATTATTTTTCATTGTTTCATTAAAATTACTGATCAAATAAACATTGCAAGATTAAACAAAGAGGATAATTTGATAAGGTTGTTTAATAATAGAAATAATTTGTTGTTTATGAAAACAATTAGTAGGAACTGCAGATGATAAAGTTTGTTCTTTTATAAACACATTTTACAAAGGCAAAAACATTTTTGTTGCCTATCTACTCGTATATTATCATTTTGTAACAAGAAAGCTAAAAATAAATCGGTAGCATGAGGCACACAGCATTTTTAATTTTGCCATGTTGGGCGATCTTTAGAAATTCTGTTAACCAATTTTCATATTCAAGAAGAAACGATAAAAACAGAAAATGTTGAAAAAATTTCTTTAACAATTTAATATGAAAATTACAAAAAGTAACACTATTTTGATAATTACGATAATTTGAAATTATGCACAAATCACAGAATCTGTCATTTGTGGAAGATAATAAAGATGTACTTTCAGCTGAGTATTATATAAAAATAATAATTAGATATATAATTATATGTATATGTTTCTCAAACATGCCGCTGTTCTAATGTAAGGGGGTCTACACGAAAAGAAAAATTAAGATAATTATAATTCAGGATTTTATATGATAATAACATGTTCACTATAATGCGAAATGTCAATAGTTGTGCGCAACTGTTTTGTAAACTCTCCTCTTCAGAATTTGATACCAATAACCAGGCCTGGTGGCTTCTTGGGTTGTATTAATACTCTTACATAATTATAACCTCGTTCTTCATTTCAGTTTAAATGATTTAAACAGAGAAAACGAAAGCTCTAAATACTGCAAAACGATAAAATTGAAAATGTTGCAGGCTCGGTTTGATTGAGCTTGTCCATGGACGGTATTGGAAAATGCAAGTTACCGTCCACGCCCCTAGAACTGGTTCAAACAGAATTTAACATGTTGATCGTTTGAATTTAGAAACATCCGCAGCTGTGTTCATCCGGCGGTTATTATGAAACCTTCAATGCGACGCTTTCGTGCTATTCAGCAAAAAACGGCATATGGTCTCCAAGTAATAGAAACCGATAACAAACTTTACAAAGGGGTCAGAGGTTATAAAGCCTGCGTATCACAGCTAAGGTGTCAAAAGACAAATTTGAAAATCATGCGTCATATCCTGAACAATTTAGCCTTCTAAATCGTGTTCCACAAAAACAACCCCAATATGGAAAGTACATATTTTCTTATAAGGCTTAATTGTTTCAGTAATGTCTGCTACAATAATCTTAGTATACAAAACCATGTCAGACCATGTAACCTGTTGTTCAGAAATCCTGATCTTCTGGTTGAATGACTGACATATATGCAACCAATCTTTTTGTATAGATCATTAAATGAAGTGTTATTATTGCCTACTAATGTTCAATGAAATTTGTTCTATGAATAGTTATTACAATTTTAATTTCCGTATTATCATCAAAAGTTGCAGGTAATTAGAAAACGTTTATGCAACCTTCTTGGATTATAATCAGATTATTAATGTTTTGAAGT